CTTAAGGGACAAGGTAATGATTTTACAAGGTTTATTAATACTTCATGCTCTGCTCCCCTCCTCCTACCGTTTTCTATCAAGGACTTTGTAACTTGGCTTTAAGCTGAAGCAAAGCTACTGCCGGGGGTGTTAAGAGGCAGAGTCTTTGCAGGGTCTTGCTTGTTCTGTTATGGGCGCCGTGCACGAAGGTCTGTTGTTGACTCTTGCTACTGGGGGAAAACAACATTTGGTTTTCAGATGTACTTTGGGCTAACAGTTGTGGAGCCAGACTGACATGAGTTTGCAACCTGACCCTGTGATGTATTATCAAACAAGTTATGTAACCTGTGAGGGGCCATAAGGAAAGCGTTGTATTTACCCAGGAACTTCAGAGACTTCACATAATGCCCTCCTTTTAAAAATTCAACCAAAATATGTTTGCATTATTTATCCTTTCCTCTCCACCTTCCTATTCCTCCCAAATCCAACCTAAATTCATGGATTCTTTTTTTTTCAACCATTGTTGTTACATATACATATGAACAAATCAACATATAAAATATAAGCTACTGAGTCCTTTCAGTGTTTCCTGCATATAAATATATTTTTTTTTTCTAGGGCAGACCCACTCAGTATTGGATAACAAATCAGGGGACTAATCCCCGGGAAGGACCAGTTCTCTCTCAGCAGTTTTTAATTGCCTGAGGCTCTTTATCTAGCAGTGGGACCTTGTGAGATTTCTCCCATCTGCATTATGATACCAACTGTTATTCAGATTGTCCAAGTCTTGTTTAGGCAGTCATGTTGTTGAGATTTCATGGGTATAGTTTTCTCTATAATAGCTAGAAGGAACAATCTCACAGCAGACTTGATGGTCCTCTGGCTCTTACAATCTTTCCACCTTGTCTTTAGTGATGTTTCCTGAGACAAGAGCAGTTTTTTTTTGTTTTTGTTTTTGTATATTTATCAGTTGGGGATAGGCACCACATAGTCAGCTGTTCCCTGCATTTTAACAGTTGTGGCTTTGTATAATGGTCTCCAGCTGTTGCTAAAAGAAGCTTCTTTGATGATGGGTGAGATTTACACTTACCTCTAGGTATAGAGATAAGTATTTAGAATACAGGTAGGAATTACACTGGTTTAGTAAAAGGGAGCTTGTAGTTCTTCTGAGATCTGTGGCCTCACAAACCATGTGCAGTTGGCTAGGTTTACAGTACTTAGCATGATTTCCCTCCTGTTAAGCAGACCTTGGGAGCAGTTAGATAGCTGTTAGTTATCACCAAGATATAAATGCCACTATTGCACTTGTATGGATGTCTTGCCAGGCAGGTCATTGGTGTGGTTTATAGGCATCATAGCCGGGTAAGATTTGATTTCATTTCTCTCTTAGCAGCTTGCATATCACCTTTGGTACTATGATAATTAGTCCTCAGTGAAGATGCTATGTAAAGCCCTCTTAATGTGGGCTTGATGGGATAGATATTGTCTGGTATGAGAACCCAACCAATCATTAATTTCTCTTTGTTTGTCTTAGTAGTCACTTTCATTTTCTCTGTTTTTTATAGTTATCATATTGAGCAATTTTCAAAATGCCCCTTAACCCCTTTGTTTCATCGAGTATGTAAAGCAAATTGGAGACTTATTTGTAGTGGGCTTTTGAGCACTAATAAACTTATCTCACTTAATTTTGTTTCTGTCTTTGGTTTCATTTACTCTTTAATCTATTTTATCTCATATTATCTTTCTTTTCTTTTTCCAAGCTGCCTAAAGCATCCTCTATAGCAGGTAGCACATAGAAAACAGTTTAGAACATTTGGACCCTCCGTAGCTATCTGGTAAATGACTGAAAAAAGGTAGAGAAGAGCCACAGAGAAGTAAGACAAGTAAAAGAGGAAAGTGATGAGTTTGTGCCTTCGGAAGAAGGAGTACAGTGTTGGTCAATGCTGGGGAAGTAGGTAAGGATGGAGTCAGCGGTGTGGCTGATAGTGTATGCTGTGTATGTATGTGATCACCTTCAGAGAGGGAGAGAAGTGGATGTGAGAAAGTTTGAGGAATTCCAATCCATGCAGTTATCTGTAAAAGCTATAGATATAGTCAGACCAAGAATGTTTGAAATAGGAAGGAAAGATCTACATGGCTTTAAGAGGAGGGAGGAAAGGACTAAAAACTGTCCATTTATACAATGACTTGGGGGCTATACTAATCTATATATGATCCAGAATACTACAGACTAGGGGATTTATGAAGAACAGTACTCTATGTCTCCTAGTTTTAGAGGCAATCTGCTGGTGTCTGATATTGGTCCACTTGCTATGTTCTCACATGGTAAAAAGCAGAATGGCAAGAGAAAGCAAACCCACTACTCCAAACTGTTTACTTATGAGCATTAATGAACTCATGAAGGTACAGCCTCACAACCTCACTATCTCCCAAGAGGCCCACCTCCCGTCACTTTCTCTGGAGATCAAGTTTACAGCATATCAGTTTTCGTGGTCATATTCAGACGATAGCAGAAACTTCAGTGAAAGCTACTTTATTATAATAGCAGGGCAGAAGATAAGAGTTGAGGAGTAAATGCTGTTTGTTGCAATAGCCACAACTAACATTTAATGAACATTCACTCGATGCTGTGTCAAGAACTTATTATGAATTACCACGTCACAACAACCTAATGAGAAATGTAGTGACCATACTCCCTTTCCCTTTTACAAAAGAGAAACTTGAGGCATGAAGAAGTTAACCACCTGAAATCACACAATCGCTATGTTCAAGCTAAGATGATCAGGTCAGACACCATTTTGGAGCAAGAATGTTTACACAGCACTTAAGAAACTTGGCTGTCAAGAAAGGAAGTAGAAATGGCATGGTCACCATAGGAGGATGACTATTCAAAATAGACGGAGTCCCCCATTGCTTGTTTGACTAACAGAAGAGAATTGCTTGACATTGTTTAATTGCTAATGGGAAGTATCCAGCAGTGCCGCTGGGATGTGGACACCAGAGAGAGAAGGGACAATCAGAATCTCAAGGACTCAGAGGAGGAAGGAATCATTTTCAGGATATAGACACCATATTCAGTTAGTGAAGAAAGTAGACATGGTGTGAAGCCAGGAAGCAGGGAGTAGCGTTCCCTTCACAGAGCTTCTGTTTTTGTGAAACGAGAGTTAGGCAACAATCTGAGGGTCTGATAGAGAAGCAAAGGCATCAGGATGTTGAGAAATGGAGAAGATGTAAATGGAAGTTCAGATACCCAAGGAGCAAGGAGATTAATAGAGCATAGAGACAGCAGGGTGTAGTCAGAAGATTTTCTGTGTCCTGGCCTACGGGCAGTGGGGACAAATCTCTCCCACTCGTGTCCCCCAAGTAAACACACAGAGGCTTATATTAATTATAACTGCATGGCCATGGCTCAAGCCTTTTTGCTAGCTAGCTCTTATATCTTAAAGTAGCCCGTAACTATTAATCTATGTATTGCCACATGTTCCATAGCTTTACCTGTGTCCCATTACATGTTTCTCCTTGGGCAGCTTGCTGGCGTGTAGTCCCACCCTCCCACCCACCCCCCGCCTTCTTCCTCTCTTTTTGAATTTTCCGCCTGCCTCTAAGCTGCCTTGCCATAGGCCAAACAGCTTTATTTATCAACCAATAAGAGCAACACATATTCGCAGCATACAGAAAGACATTCCCCCATCAGCAGGGTGTTGAAAGTCTGGCAGAAGGGCAGTTCCCTTTGAGTCTGCTTGGGGTCTTGAATTTTCTCCAGCATTCTGATTGCAAGCAGATAGGAAAAAAATAGTTCTTTGTTTGCTTTGTTCTGTTTGGTTAACCATTGGGAGCATTGGCTTTCCAGCCTGTTCTGCAAGCCCTTAGTACCCCTTTTCTCTTCAACCACTGTATCTAATCCAGTATGAGTTGCTGTTTTTGTGGGCTATACTCCAGGAACACTGAACCCTTGCAAATGATGTCAAGTCTGTTTTGCCCTAGTCTCCCACTTTGTGTACTCAATAGGCTTCCAGAGCTTTTCACTGGTGGGAACTTGCTGCCTCTGACCCATTCTGCACACAACAGCTAGTGCACCTTTGATAATGACTTCCTAGTCTAGCTTTCTCAAGTCTTTCCATTGCTCTTAGGAGGCTTGGGGGGGGGGCAGCCACAGTGTCGCCATTGTCCTCTAGTCACTGTTCTCTCCACTCCCTGAGCTCCCCTGTCTTCACACAGTGTCTCCCTTGTGGCTCTGTGCTCTTGCTTCCAGTGTTGAACCCATGCTTTTGGCAAAAGGACAAAGGCAAGGCCAAAAATTTTCATGTTAACTGAACCTGCTTTCCTTCTCAAGAGGTCACTTCTGACACCTTGTCTCATCGTATCTCTCACAGCCACAAATACCACTGTCTCATGTTAAACCTGAGAAAATGCAAGGCTCTCAGAGGTCAGTTTGCAGTCTCCAAATGTAATGAGAATCATGGAATTTAAAGAAAGGGAGAGCAAGATTGGGACTAGGTGGGCAAATTGGAGACTCTTGGAGTCAGCCAGCCAGTTGGCCTCAGGATGCTGCTGTCTGATGAGCTATCCATATGGTGGACTCTGGCCATAGGTTCCCCAGGACATATTTCTATGGGCTTGGTTCAAATTATACTCCTTAGTGTACAATGTTAACACCTTTGACTTCGAATTTATATAGCTAGCAGACTAAGATAGTGAAGTGAACAGCCTTCTCACTTGGTTATACTGAGACTTTCTAAGGGTTTACTGCCCAGTTATATCTCAGCCTTGGGAATATGAAGAAACACATGTTTTCCCATGGGAACACATGTGCTGGGTTCTGCTTCATGAAGAATATCATAAAGATTGATAGAAAAAAGTCTGTTTTATAGGCTCCTATTTCCTGATGTATATTCTATCTCAGGCCTTTGCTGACTACTTATTGGCCAGGGTGGTTGATTTATTTCCCCATACCACCACCACCCCACTGTGTAATTACAGGAAAAACATGGACTTCCATAACCAGATGCTGAACAAGGTGTTTACTCTTGTAGATACACTAAACTATTCAGAAAATGTAGGTCCTAGGGGTATACACCAAGGATTACAGAGCTCCAAACAAGTGTTTTGTTGATGGCCATGTTTACTGAGATCCCTTTCTCACCAGCTGAGTCCTCTTCTGATGGTTTAGGTCTCCCAGGAATCATTTTCCAAAACATCTTGATGTTAGAATTTCCTGTAGGCTTGTCAGGCACTTGTCTAAGTGAAGGATGTAGCCTCTGTGCTCCAAACTTCTCACCACAGGCACAGAAATGTGAATCATGGACAAACGTTACCATACTCAAGCATATTGGTTTGACTGGTTGAGACAGAGTCTTGCTATGCAAGTCCTAGCTGATCTTGAACTTGTAGTGATCTCCCTGTCTTTGCTTCTCCAGTACCAGGATTAGAGATGTGAAACATCTCTCATTTCCAGCAAGTTCTTGCTTTACAAAAAAGCCTTGCTTATTTAAGGTGCTGGTTATATACATACCTGTTTCTCAGAGAATTAATTTTCTCAGAGAATTCTAGTTTTATTGCATATGAATAATATATAGTTGATATACATATATACACACATATTACATGTCTATTAGACACAGTATCCATTTATTTTAAGTACAAGGAAACTGTATTATTTTTCTCATCTTACAGATAAAGAAACTGAAGCTCAGTAAGGTGAAACATCACAAAGCCAAAAAGTGCTAAATTTAGCATATTTAATTAACTAAAAAGTATAAAAATGATTCTGGGAAAACAACTAAGTTTCCTTTGGGGACCTCTACTTTCCTCTATAAACTGAAGGGACTGGATTTTCTCTTCAGTCCTCAAATTAGGGCCAATATAAGAACTCCCCAGAGAACATACATCATAAAACTCCTTGCTACCCCTCTCCTGCTTAAAACTTGTGAATCAGGAGTTCTGGATGGGACCAGAGCAATGATGTTTCTAACAAGTCCCCAGGTAACACCTGTAAGCACATCTGGAGATGCCCAGTTCTCAGATTCCTGCCAGCTGTTCTCCACAGCAGCAGCAGCAGCAGTAGCAAACACCTCACTTCCTCAGTCCCCTGCATCAAGGGATCAAAAATACTCCAGAGAATGATGTTACAACAAATCTAGTCTGGCCAGATTTGACAGTTCAGGGAAACTCAACATGGATGCTGATGAAAATATTCCTACTGCATCAGTTTTCTTGCTGTTTTAGTCAGTATGTGTTGGTGTAGCATGTGAGAGCATTGCAGATCTCCAGCATCTGCACTGTAGTTGCACACTTGGTCTGTCTGTGAAGTGCTCATAGGCTGTGGAGAAAGTGATCATCTGTAGTGTTACCATTGAAGGAGACTCAGGAAAACATGCCTCTTCTCTGAGACTTGTGATGATAACTTTGAATTTTATCTAAGATGGGTTGATTTTCTACTGTGGTCTTCAGTTACAGAATTGTTTTGTTTTGACTTTTATTCTTTGCTTTCTGATTTGTGTTTTGCTGTTTAGAGTCATCAAGCAGCATTTCATTTAACTTTGTCAAGTTTAAGGATGGCCTTTCTGTTCTAAGTGAAACCTTGACTTTCCTAAAATTTGCATTTCATTTTTAGCATGTGAAGATTAGTTTAAATCAAAAGCAGGAGCAGACACTCTCATCTAAAGCAATTTCCTCACTATTATTCCAATTTCCATGAAATTAGAAGTCCTAGGGAGATGAATTCAAATAGTCACTTCCATCCTGATTCTTGCCCCCAGCAATTTGGCTCTTTTAAAGAATGAAAGATGCAGGGTTCTTAGTGTTTCCTATAAAAAGAAAATGGAAGGAAATAGTATAGTGAGAAGGCTAGCACTGCTGTTTAAAAATTTAATTCAAAAATTTGTCAAGAATTTGATACAAGAGTTTGTATTTACTTTGTGTCTACTCCTTCCTCTCCTCCAACATCTTCCATGCCCACCACTCCTGACCTCTTCTTTTTTAGTTATTATTGTACCGTTACATACACGCGCACACATACAAACACACCCACATACCCCCACACACCCCCACACTACTGAATCCCTTTAGTGTTGCTCAAATGTACTTGTGTTTAGGGATTATCACTTGGAATTAGGTAACCTATCAGGGGCTTGCCCCTATGTAAGACTGATTCTTCATCTCTCAGCAGCCATCGATTGCCAGGAGCTCTTCATGTAGAAATGAGCCCCTTTGAGAGTTCTTCCATCCACTTTGGCATGTCTAGTAATGTTGTCATTATACAGGTCTTTTTTTTTTTAAAATTTTTCAAGACAGGCTTTCTCTGTGTAGCTTTGGAGCCTGTCCTGGAACTCACTCTGTAGCCCAGGCTGGCCTCGAACTCACAGAGATCCACCTGCCTCTGCCTCTGCCTCCTGAGTGCTGGGATTAAAGGTGTGCACCACCACCGCCCAGCTATAGGTCTTATTTAGATGACTGTATTTTTGAGATTTCGTGGGTGCAGCTTCCCTGTCATGTGTAGAAAACACTATCTCACAGAAAGCATCCTGGTCCTCTAGCTCTTAAATATTCTTTTTTGCCTCCTCTTAAGTGCTGTTCTTTGAGCCTTCCATGTTGGGTTTATATTGTAGATGTATCAGTTGGGGTTGAGCATCTCATGATTTTTTGTTCCCTGCATCTTGATGAGGATGTATTTCTGTGGTAGTCTCCATCTGCTGCTGCTGCCGTGGGAACCACACTTATCTGTGGGAATGCACTTAGAAATTGTAGTAGTTTAAGATTCTTGAGTATTCCTTATGTCTAGTCACCACTGTCCAACATTTTACATGAGTTAATGAGTTATCAGATTAATGCCCTAGCAAACAGAGATGTGGGTATTATTAGTATTTCTGCTTTACCTGTAAAAACTGGGGATAGACAATTGAACCAGCTTCTCAGAGTCACTTGATGGAGGACAGGCCTGCCTGCCTAGAAAAGCTCATGATTGTTATTAGCAAATACATCTCCAGTCATTGCAGCCCTTGCATTTTTCATAGGATGCTCTGACTCACTTGGCTTCCTGGTTTCCTGACTCATCACACTAAGCAGAGTCAAATTCAGTGTATCTTGAGTACTCTTTCCTGGATGCCTTTCCTGCTCTACCTTCCAGAATGTTCTACCTGCACCATTGTCTTCCCTTTTTCCATAGGCCTAATGGGATATACCTTCTTAAGGATATCCACTACCTCTGAATCTGGTAAGCTTGTCAAGAGTAAACATAGATGCAGTCAGTGGTTCCATGTTAGTTAAAGGGACTTTCCATCATAAATATGATTTTTAATGAGTCTCATTATACATCCTTGTGATTAGAAAATGCATTGGTAGGTAATGTCCGGACCAAAAGGTCTCTACCATCTGTATTACTTTAAAAGTTTTGGCAATAAAACTCAAATTTTTGATAACTCATGGCTCATATAAAGTAAATAACATGTTTTCAAACAAAATTTACCATGATAGTGATGGGTGTATGGGGCTTTATTTTCTAAAGCTGTACAAAGTGTCCTGTGAACCTGTTGGTATGGAGGCTCAGCCTATTTTTTTTCTTGGCCTAACATTCTTCTACTCTTCAAAGAGTTGGTGGTTTTATTTTTTTCAAGCTCCTTAAAATGGTTCAAAAGTCTTGGCTAGCAAACACCTTTTAAAAAAAATCAATTTTCCAATAATTTAGAGTGAATCAGACCCATATAGCTACATTTCCCTTCAGGGGGCTATGCTTTCAAAATGATTAAAGTTAGACAGCTGTATAGATCCTGAGGAAATGTGCTTGGAAATGTTCTATGATTTGTTATGGACCCCAAAGCTTTGATAAAATCAAACAGAACTCAAATCAGCTTTCCAGCTTTACCACAACTATGGCAGTGGTGTGGAGATACTGAATACCCATGCAAGCTGCACTGGCATCCCTTTTTCTACCCAAACTCAAAGTTTTAGCTGAGTGCAAGGTGCTTTAAAGGTCTGCATTCTCCATCTTCCTCCACATGCAAGTTTTGGTCAGTGAGATCTAAGCAGGCAGGTCCCATAGGGTTTCTAACGAAGACTGTGACTGCTTCCTTTCCTCCCATGGTCCTGAGTCAGGTGGTTGAAGATGCACCATCTACTTGGAGTCAGGAGATCGATGGTTAGACCTCAGGGGAGATGAAACGCTAAGGTTCTTGGAAGTCACCATAGTACGCTTAAATTCTCTGTGTCTGGACTTCCTTTGAAGAAATTTATTTCTATGGTTTATTTCTTTTTTAAGGCACAGTTTGGTGGATTTGTAGCTGCATTTTATCTTACTAATTAATAAAAATTGTGACTCACCAGGTTTGGGGAAAACAAGTAAATGAGTGTAGCACATTAGGTTGAGCTGCCACTGTTGAATTATCTCTTATACCGCAGAAAGATTAGAGCCGTCACAGCTCATGTAGCTTCCATGGCAGTCTTCTAAGGCACCATTATCCTCATTTTACCGATTGTCTAACAGATGCACAGAGTTGCATCGGTTGCCAAGATTTACACATCAAAGTCAAGAGTTGAAGCCAGTCAGTTTAGCACTCTCTCTGTCTCTGCATTTATTTATTTATTTATTTATTTATTCATTCATTCATTCATTCATTCATTCATTTATTTATTTATTTATTTATTTATTTATTTATTTATTTATTTATTTATTTATCAAGATAGGGTTTCTCTGTGTAGCCCTGGCTGTTCTGCAACTCTTTGTAGACCAGACTGGCCTCAAACTCAGAGATCCACCTGCCTCTGCCTCCCAAGTGGATTAAGTGCATGTGCTACCACTGTCCAGTCTAGCTCTTTAACTTTGGCCAGTTGCCTTGGAAAGCAACTTGACATTTTAAAAGAAGATGCTCTTAACCCCTAGCTTTTCACCATGTACATATGCATACTTACCCCTAAGCTTTATCACTAAGTACATGAGTGACTTCTGCCTCAGAGGTTTTGCTTCAAAGAGGCTGTGATCCCACTCAACATTCTTGTTAGTTACCATGTGCCTAGCTCCATGCTAAGCACACACATGTGTTCATAATACCCTTGTCCAGAAGGAGGTCACAGATTGGTTGGGGAGGCAGGACCTGACACTTATCAAAAGGCAAGAAACAGGGAGAGGAAATAGAGAAAAATTATGTTACCGTGTCCAGAAAAGTGCATGGTACTGCACATTTGGCTAGGAACGAACAAAAGCTTCTGGAAATGTAATGATGATACATGATCAGCTGCCCTGTAAGCACAAGAAATAAGTGTTGTGAATCAAAAGAGGAGGTACTTGGGGTCTGAAGGACCAATGAAGACACTGGGTGTTGTTTCAGGGTGGTTGAGTTGGTAAATAAAGGAGCCTTGAAGGTCTGATAGTTTGTGTAGTTGGTGTGCAAATTAGGCTCTCCCCTCTTGCTCTTTCTCTGCCCAAGGATCTGTTCATAAACCACAGTGCAAGCTTCTATGCTTCAGCTCCCACACAGACATCACTGCTAGCCACTCTCCCCTGTCTTTCTAGTCAAGTTCTCATCTTTCTGCATGTGAATAAAATAACCGTACATAGTGAGTAGACTCTCTAGTGCCATCCATATCTCACTCACATCCAACCCCATTGACACAGGGGTTTGATTCTGTGGTCAGTGCATATTATGAAAATTCCACTAGCCAGAATTACCCTTGAAAATATCCTTGGGAACAGTGGAAACTGATAAGCTGTCTCCATTAAATCCAGCACAGGCAATCATTTTAACATAGACATAAATGATATATGTCTCCCCCCGCCCCCCGTGTGTGTGTGTGTGTGTGTGTGTGTGTGTGTGTGTGTGTGTGTGTGTACATACTTTTTAAATGGCTAGCCTATTTTGGAGTCTAGGTTCAGTGAAAATAATCTAGGCCTATTGTAGCTTTCTAGGTTATGTACCCAAGAGGTGTCATGAATATGGACCATGGTATAAACAGCACTCTTTGAGGCTATTCACTCACACAAAAAACTGTACACCATGGACCTATTTTGAATATGTAGCAAGAGGAAAAAAAATGAATGTATTTGAAACTGACGCTAACAGGAGATTTGCATCTCATTCCAGGACTGAGCTCCCTGAAGGATGGTGAAATCATGTATGTTACTCATATTCATTTTGCTCAGCCGCTCCTCCCTTACTTCTTTAATGCCATGTATCACTGATTTAGGATGGTGCTTCTATGTGCAAACTACAGCTCTACTTCAAACCCTGTTATTCATCACATTTTTGTTTTTCATTCTTTGATTGCAAGTATGAATTTGATGTTTCTTTTTAGATTACTCAGTCTACTAGGACAAGGGCTATGTCCCCTCTTATGACCTACTGGGTCCCAACACCTAAATAGTGTTTGACATACAGTCTTCCCAGGCATTTCCATGCAAACACTAATGTGGCTTTCCATTTGCCTGCTACATTTAGGACATTACCAAACCTCTTTGATTCCTATGGCTGCCTGCCAAGGTTTATCTTGCAGCATGGTGGAAATGTAGCCTGCCTACACTGGTCCTTACAGATGATACCCAAGCCATAACTGATCATTATCCAGATACTTGATAGCTTAGGACCATCTTGGCTAATTGCCACCTCATTAAAGTTGCATTTCCAGCAGCACTCATCTCCATGCCCTGTTCTCTGTTTCAGTTTCTATTACAGCAACAGCAGCAGCATCTGCAGCAGCAGCAGAAACTTCTTTTTTTTTTTCAAAAAAATTGCAAAAGTAGGGTCCCGTGAGGTGGCTTAAGGGTTAAAGCCCTTGCTCTATGTAGGCATGATGACTTATAAGTTTGATCTTAAGAACCATAGAAAGGTAGAAACAGAGAACTTATTCCACAAAGTTGTTCTCTGATTTCTGCATGCATGCCATTTGATATGTGTGCCCCATACTCCTGCAATATACTACACAGCAATAATAATAAACTGATTTTAATTGAAGAAAGTTTAAAACTATATTCTGATCATGCTTTGCTCCTCCCAGACTCCCTCATTTCTGCACCTACCCAACTCCATACCCTTCCTCTCTTTAAAAAACAGAAAAAAAACAACAAAACCCAAGAAACACACACACATACACATTTCCCCCCCCGAAAAAAATGGAAACCAAAATATATAAGCAAAAGACCAATAAGACAAAAAAAAAGTATCTAAACAAAGCGATATGAGACAAAGAGTGCAAAAATACCACTGATTTCCTTTTGCGCTGGCCAGATAACTACTTCTTGCTATGGGGCCTACTCTCTGGTTAATATACCCAGTGAGACTCCATTGGAGAAAACTAATTTTTCCTTTGACAGTGAATATCCATTGCAGATAGCTTCTTGGTGAGGGGTAGGAGACAGTGTGACTTGCACACCTCAGCACTGCGACCCTGTATGGCTTGAATCTGCAGGCCCTGTATACTGCCATAGTCTCTGAGTTCATATGTGCATCAGTCCTGTTGTGTAGCTAGAGTTTTCTTGCCTTGCCCATAGGGCAAGGGAATTTGGACATAGCTTCTCTTACTACTTCCTGCTGGGGGGGCACTGTATCATATGGGGACACAAAGAAAATTTTAGGATTATGGAGTAGTCCGTGAGGGTGTATCATCTGAGCCAGTTGCCTTGAAATGGTTCTGGATGTTGGATCATCTGGGCCTTGGTGTCATCAGAGACCTTTCAGGGGGTCTTGGTTGGTCAAACCTGATGTATCTTAATCTGGAACAAATCCATAGCCTCTGGCTTTCTGTGGAAACAAAAGCAGAGCCTCCTTTCCAAAGTAACATATCCTTACATCCAAATTTTGAAGTCAAGGTCCCTTTAAAATATACATTTTGGCATAACTCAACAGCTTTTGCAATCAAATGTTTTTCTTCAGTTACAAATATCAAAGAGAACATAATCCAGATTCTCTGTGTGGTAGCCATCTTTACGTGGCTTATTTTTTGTATTTCCTTGAGCCAATTGCTTTAAACTGCACCATTCTAAGACTGAAATGGAGCTGTGGCTGCTGGCTCCGCCCACTTCAGCTTCCCAAATTGGTGGTGGTACTGTTTTTTTGCCAGCTCTGGGAGCCATCAACTCTCAGAAATAGTGGGTCTATGCTTCTATCAAAGCAGCATGTAGCCCAGAAACCTCTTTTTGTTTTGTACTAGCAAAGGCTAAATCCACCACGCAACTTAATGTGCCACTTGCAGAGGCCTCATTCCCGCCATACTGCAAGTCGAGTGCACATGCCAGGAACCTGCCATAGCAGCTCTAACATGCAGGCTGCCACTAACTTGAGAGAAACAACTAGGAACTGTTTTTAGCTTCGTTTTAGAATCTTTTTCTCAGGTTTTAGGTGGAAAGTCTTGCCAACACATTGGGTGCCATTTGTAGCTAGAGTTTTCCTGCCTTGCCCACAGTCAGGACAAATCTTTGTCACCCGCCAGTCCCACAGCTGCTCAGACCCAACCAAGTAAACACAGAGACTTATATTGCTTACAAACTGTATGGCCATGGCAGGCTTCTTGCTAACTGTTCTTATATCTTAAATTAATCCATTTCTATAAATCTATACCTTGCCACGTGGCTCATGGCTTACTGGCATCTTCACATGCTGCTTGTCCTGGTGGCGGCTGGCAGTGACTCCTTCTGCCTTCCTGTTCTTTCTTTTCTCCTCTCTGTTAGTCCTGCCTATACTTCCTGCCTAGCCACTGACCAATCAGTGTTTTATTTATTGACCAATCAGAGCAATTTGACATACAGACCATCCCACAGCACTGTTGAGTCTGGAAGACACTGTTTCCTTGGAGTCATTCATCTCCTCTGGCTCTTAAAATCTTCCTGCCTCCTCTTCTGCATAGTTCCAGATCCATGAGCCCTTAGGGGAAGGGTTTGATAAAGACACCTCATTTAGGACTGAGTGCTCTAAAGTCTCTCACTTGCTACATATTGTCCAGTTGTGGGTCTCTGTGTTAGTTCCCATCTACTTCAAGAGGAAACTTCTCTGATGATGACTGAGTGAGGCACTGACCTATGAGTATAACAGAATGTCTTTGAGTCATTTTGTTGCTACATTTGTTGATAGTAGAACAATATCATTTGTTTTTTCTCTAGGACCATGGCATATAGTCTCAGGTTCTTGGCTACCTGAGCAGTGTCAGGCATGGGTTATGTCCCATGGGGTGGGCATTAAATCCAGAGTGGTTGGTTACTTCCACAGCATGTGCCACTGTTGCACCAGAATATCTCAGAGGTCTCTGTTTTAGGTGACAGAGTTTGTATATGGGTTGGTGATTCCCTTTTACCTCTGGTAGCATGCAGAATACCTTCCAGTATCACAAATGCTAGACAATAGGGGTTAAGCCTGTAGTGAGGCACCAGCTTGACTTTTCCATGTTCAGTGGGTTGTGTAAGTGTTGTCTTCAGTAATAGGGCCTTATCAATTCCTGGAGAGCAACCAATAACTTTGGCAATAACCTTTTATGTTTGATGGTTTCCATTGTGACCCCTTTGACCAACAACTCAACAAGATGTAACCCATTGCTAGTATTGGAGATTTCCCTTGGTGGAATAAGATATGTAGCTGGGGCATTCTATCCCCCATTATTTGGTGATTCTAGATAAATAAAACTTTAAAATAAATTTTAAAAGTTGAAAGATAAGACCAGGCAAAGAAAATTCAGAAGATAGATTAAAGCAGAAAAACTATCATCACTCTAATATCCTCACATTTAGTTCACTTTGCTTTATTTTCCATATCAGTTTATCTAAGTCAAAGCCCTACTTTATATGCTGTCTTGTAGCCTGAAGTTTTAAAGTAATGTTGCTACATTTTCATGTTTACGTTTTTCCATTATGATCTGTATGAGCCTCATTTAATAGCACACAATCTCATCAACTAGTCCTAACACCTTTTTTCTTGTTGTTTTGAGACAGTGTCTCTATGTAGTCCTGGCTGTCCTAGAACTCACTGTGCAGACTAGGCTGGCCTTGGTCTCACAGAGATCCAACCTTCTTCTGTCTCCTGAGTGCTTGGATTAAAGGCATGTGCCAGCATGACTGACAGCTTTGTGACATTTTAAAGACTGAAGGTTAAACAGCACATTTAATTATCTCTCTAGTATATAAATGTTATTCGACAAGTACACATGAAATCATTGCATAGAGGTTCTTTACTCATCCTCATCGTCTGTAAACACTGATGGCTAGTGATGGAAATCCCAGGTAAAAATACACTTTAAAATAGTTTTTATTTCTGATTAGTATAGTATTTACTTATTATAAGATACTTAGAGAATAGAAAATATAAACAAAAGCATTTCATGTAGCACCCCCCCAAGAAATGTCCACATTTTTTGTATATTTTCTTTCTGTCTCTTTTTAATATATGTTCAAATATAAGATGTGCTACATAGATATATAATACATTATATATATATATATATATTCATGTCATAAAACTCCTAATTTTTAATTTGTTGTATAATGTAATGATTTAATTAGCAACATTATACCTGTACTTATCTTTTTTTTCTGGATTTTTATTTGTATGTTTTATATTTCTTTGTTTTTTTATTGAATTTTGTTTGTAATTACTTCTGTAAAAATTGAAGTTTTTCAAGGTATTTATTTATGTACCTTTTTCTGTAGTTCATGTGGTTTTTTGAAAGATTTATTTTTATTTTATATGTATAAATGTTTTGCATGTGTGAATGTGTGTGCTCTGTGAGCATGTGTGGTACCTGCATGGCCAGAGGAAGGCATCAGATCTCCTGGAACTGGAGTTCAGGATGATTGGCAACAAGAACCTAGGTCCTCTGCAAAGCAACAAGTGCTCTTAACTGCTGAGCCATCTCACAAGCTCCTCATGTGATCTATTAATGTGAATTCCAGGTATGGATTTCTTAAGTAAAAAGGTATGATTCTTTTTTTTCCGAGACAGAGTTTCTCTATATAGCTTTGGCAGCTTTCCTGGAATTCACTTTGTAGGCCAGGCTGGCCTCGAACTCACAGAGATCCACCTACCTCTGCCTCCCGAGTGCTGGGATTAAAGGCATGTGCCACCACCACCTGGCTTGGTATAAATGTTTTTAAGGATGTTGTATAGTGTCAAATTTTTCTCCATAAAGGTACACTCAGTACTCTGTAGCACTATAGAAACTATAAAGCAATAGAAACAGCATGTAATTTTTATTTTAATTATTCTTTAACTGTTAGCAAAGTTCAGCCTTTCCCCGTATTATTTATATATATGTTATTCCATGAGCTGTTTGTATTCTTAAAAACATAAAAGTGTATGAAGACTTTGGACACATATAGAAATGTAGTTTAAGGATCTGACCATAGTGTGTAAGAAAGGTATGAGGCATGTACAAAAAAATGTGAATATTGGAGGTTTTGGTTTTCTCTTTCCTATTGGGCCACAGGATTCACCACTACAAACTTCATCATCTACCTGTGTCTGTTTCTAGGCTATGGAGTTATAATAGTCACTTCCTATTTCTGGAGTCAAAGACCAGCCATGTCACTTTCTGGGGCCTTATCCTTCTAAGCTCTGCAACTGTAAGGATCGTTGATATATTTAGAATGGCAAAGCTAAATATAATATTAAAAAGCTCAGAATCGTTGGCAAGCCAGTTACTATAAAGCTTCCACTTTCCCACTGTCATTTTGACATAACTGTTGTTCATTCATTTGTGGGAGGTATTAGCTGGTACTCATGGCAATGCATGTCTTAAGACTTTTTCCCTTTCTGTATAATCAGTCTTGTTTTCTGTTTCTTGAGCTTTCAGTTAGCTTTTTAACCTGTGTGATTATTTAGATTTCTTCTGTGCATCTGGTTCCCTCCAGATGGTCAAGTGTTGAGAACAGGGCACTAGCCAGCTGCTGAGGATATCTCTACGTACCTGGCACGGTGGTGACCTTTGTTCCTGTGGCTGATCTTGATGTCTTAGGAGTGAGGAAATCCACCAGCATCTTTGGTTCTCTTCTTTACATTGGAGTCCCAGAGAAAGCTTCCAGTCTTCCAGTGTCCAGAGGCAGGGATATAAGCCTGACTGCTATAGCACAGGGAAGAGACTTGGTAGTTGTAAGTTTAGTTTGAAAACTTGGCTTCATTCTTCCACTCCATTTTAACTTCCTTTCTCTCAATGCTTTCTATCCCCTATCCAGAATCCTTCCATTTCTCCCCTTTTAGGTAATTAATCAGCAGACTTTTGCCAGATAAGAGAAACCAGGTTCAAGAAGTTTCAAGGCATTATTGAGCCTATCCTTTCTATTAAGCAAACTTGTCTTCCTGATTTCAGGCCGTCTTTACTCTTACTTCTGGCTGCCTCATTACCACAAAACCCTAAGTTTTTCACAGCAAACCGAGTTTCATTTAGTTTTCCTCACAACCAACATGGGATTCCGCTGTTCAGTACTAGTTAATTTCCATCACCATCATTCTACATTGTGCTGCCTCAACTTTCAAATGTTCTTGTTACTATTAGTTTGTCTCACAAGTTTGGCTTGATAGGTTTCCTTTTTTAGAAGCAATATCCCTTAGACTTCACACCCACTAAAATAGCTCCCATCAAAAGTCAAACAAAATAGAATCCAAAATAGGTGCTGGTGTGGAAGTAGGGAAATTAGCTTTGTGCCATACCAGTGGAATATAAAATGGTCCTGATGTCATGGAAACTGCGAGGCAGCTCCTCAAAGAGAGCAAAATAGAATGCCACATGATCCAATATCTTTTCTCCAGGTATATGCTCAGATAAGTGAGAACAGGGGCTCATAGCTAGCTCATAGAGGTATTTTTCCAGCTATGTTCATTGTATCATTTATAATAGCCAAAAGTTGAAAGCAGTCCATGGATCCATCAATGGGAGATGGATCAACAGAAAGTGGTATATAAATGCAATGAAGCACTATTCACCCTTCAAAAGCAAAGAGTTCTGCAATATACTATAACTTGGGTGAAACTTTATAGTAAGCAACGTTATGGAAGATGATATATGCCAGACATAAAAGGAAAAATACTAGATGAGTCCACCTAAAAGGAGTACTACTGTTGTTTCAGTGTATTTTCCTCAAATTCGTGAATTTCCAGTGTGGTCCCCAAATTTGTATGGGAGTGGTGTTTGGAGATGGAACCTTTGGGAAATAATGAGGTTCTGATGAGGTCATGAGGGTCCGTGGCCCCTGCGTGCTGTGGGATGGTCTGTATGTCAAATGTGTTGCTGATTGGTCAATGAATAAATCACTGATTGGCCGTGGCCAGGCAGGAAGTATAGGCGGGACAAGGAGGAGAATAGAGCTGAGAAGTGGAAGGCTGGGTCAGGGAGACACTGCGAGCCGCCATCAGGACAAGGAAGATGTAAAGTACCGGTAAGCCACAAGCCACGTGGCAAGGTATAGATTAATAGAAATGGATTAATTTAAGCTGTAAGAACAGTTAGCAAGAAGCCTAAGAACAGTTAGCAAGAAGCCTGCCACGGCCATACAGTTTGAAACCAATATAAGTGTTTGTGTTTACTTGATCGGGTTTGAGCGGCTTGGGACTGGCGGGTGAGAGAGATTTGTCCTGACTGTGGGCCAGGCAGGAAAACTCTAGCAACACCTGCGCCATTAAAACCTCTTAAGAAGGGACTCGTGCTAACATGCTTGCTGTGTCTCATTCGCCCTTTGATACTTCTTGAGTACCTCTTGATTGCAACACCATATTTTTTAACTGAACAGCTTCTGCAGCTGTGCGTTAGACAAGCTGTCATTCTTTATTTGTAAATTGCCCAGCCTGTGGCCTTTGGCTACAGCACGAAAAAACCACTGTCTTCGCTGTGTTAGTCAGTCTTCCCCCACTGTAACAAATATGTGAGATAGTCATCTTAAGAAGAGAAGTTTCTTTTGTCTCCCAGTTTGTGAGGCTGTAGCCCGTGGTCAGCTGTACCGCTGTGGTGGGCCTGTGGTAAGGCAGGCAATGCAAGGCACTTGGGAGCACTTGGTGGAGGAAAGACGCTTCCCTCGTGGATGGAAAGCAGAAGAGAAGGGGTTGGGAGTCTCTAGTCCTTTCATTGGTCTGCTTCCAATGGCCTGAAGACTTCCCAGTAGGCTGTGCCTCTTGTAGTTCCTAACCCTCTCCCAATAATTAGCTGCCTGTCAGGAGATCCAAAGTATATGTTTTGAATGGGCTAGTTCACAGAGACAAAAAGTAAAATGGTGATGATGTGGGACAGGAGGAAACTGAGGTGCTAAGTTAGTATCCGATGGACATAGTTTCAGTTTTGCCTGATAAATGTGTTCTGGAGATGGATGAAAGTGGCGGTTTGCCAAACTGTGAGTGTACTTCATACGACTGGACCGGATCAGCAGTGAAGATGATAACTTTATATTATGTATATTTTAGCACTGTTTTTCTTAAGGAAGTGATTAATTCTGTTTTAATTGTGTTTGGCTCTCTTCTTTAAGGAAACGGAGACTAATAGTTGTATTCAATCTGTTACTTAAACTGTAAGTCTCTTCTTATCTGGTAGGTAAAGAGATGGAACCTGTTTGAAGTTAAATCACACCCTGATCACAGAGGAAGTCACTGGTAGCTAGGATTTGGTCTAGTCTGAAGGAAGCCTAGACTCTCATCCTCCTGCCTCCTAGAAAACTCACTCTTTAGTAGCCGATGAGTATTCAGTAAGCTCTGACTTCCAGGATTCTTGCAGGTAAGCAGTGAGGTTATATTGCTGCACCGTGTGAGGTGGGCAGCCTGGATAGTATGTACATAAACAAACAGTGGCCAATACTGATGGGGATAAAGCTGTCTGGAACATGGGTGGAAACATGTCTTCTAAGGAAGACACTTCTACATTGAGACTCCATTGTGAAGATAGTTTCAACAATGGGACACATCAGCAAGAGTGTTCCTCAGAGAAGCTATGGTAAACATAAAGGACAAGAAATGGGAATCAGTCTGATATGTTTGAACCACTTTAGCATAATGTGATGAGAGAGGGGAAAAAATGGGGTGGAGTAAGAGACTTAAGGATGTAGGTTCATGTGAGCCCTGGAGGAACCCAATGTTCTCTGAATGTAATCGGAAGCCACTGTGATGCTTTGCAGAAGACAAATGATGATCCCACTTTTAACATCCAGTTGACTTTCCCTTTGTAGTCCCCAGAAATGCATGCTTACACACTGTTGCTCACAAGGAAAATTAGAGTCTGGTGAAGAATGGAGGGCGGATGCCATCATTACAATAGAGCAGTATGTCAGTGTGCACTTCAGAACCAGTAGTTAGAGCAGTATGTCAGTGTGCACTTCAGAACCAGTAGTTAGGGGAAAATAAATGTCCATGGTCAGACAGTGGCGACTGGGAGATCCCTATCCTTGTTTTCTTAGCCTGTCATTGAATACCAGCATACTAAAGTCTCAGAACTGCATAGTGCTCTTGAGACCTAGCTGACTTCTTTCAGCTTGGTATTTCTGTTTTGCTGACATTAAGAGCTGCCTTCCATCAGTGCACAAATGTGTTTTTGAACAAGTATGTAAAATGCCCTGACAAGTGCTAAATTCAGGCATATGTTCATATGGTTATACATATCTGAGAGTGTGGGGCAGGTGGGCATTTGGGTAACCTTGCTGGATGCAGTGATCTCCACATTGCCTCCTAGTGGGTGTGGAGAAGATGGCCATGTGAAGGAGCAAGGAAGGATATCCACAGAGGAAAAACAGTCTTGAGCTCAGACACGGAGAACCTCAAGGCCCATTTATCAAACCTAGGCAAGTGAGTTTGTAAGCTTCAAGCAGGAAGAGAAAGGGAAATGGTTGAAGTCCTCTCTCTCTCTCTCTCTCTCTCTCTCTCTCTCTCTCTCTCTCTCTTTCATCTTACTCATTTTTAAAAAGGACAGAAAGCAGTGTGTGACCCTTGAAGTTGAAAGTTTTTAGGAGCTGCTGATTGTTCTGTGCAGGAGGCCTGGTCCTCTGTCTGGTCTGCTCCAATGGCTCAGCTATCTGTCTGGACCTCTCTCCTCTGACTGTTTCACACTCCTAGAAGCCCTCTCTAGGAAGAGCAGGCAGAGCCGCACATGTATGATTCTACTGTATCAATTGGCTCCTGCCTTCCTGAAAGTTGGTTCTTCCTAATACTCATGGCTCTGCTGACACAGCATGGCTCTTTTTGTCTTCTTATTGTTTCATAGTATTCTCCTACTGACACCCCACTTTTTCCTGCATTTTCTTTTAGACTCACTTAGATCTGACTTTTGCATAATTAGAGGCCTTCACATTTATCTGTGAAAAGGTATGTTCATGCACAGCAGAACTCAGGGACCAGGAGCTCCTGAGACTCCAGGGGTGGGAGCTAAAGGTCCTGTGTGGGAAGAAAGTGTCACAGACTCTTTGGCCCCCTCTTGTGCACCTTCCTATGCCACGTAAGACAATAAATTTCACAAAGCTTAGCTTTGTGTCACTGTTACTAGGTGACTCATGAAAGAACCTCTCCCTAGTCACAGTGCCAGAGGGTTTCTGTTATTTTCAGTTTTCTAAAAAGTATGCCATTAACTATTTTAGAAATAAAGAGAAGGAGGCTGGAGAGTTGCTAGCTTCAAGCCACTCAGTTGGTCAGGGACGAGGCCATTATTTACATGGAAGTTGCAGGTGCAAAGCTCACACTTCCATATACAATTCCAACAAGTGTTCTAATTGCTGAAGTGGATTTTCTGGGAATTTTTTGCTTGCTTTGGCGGATGCATTAAGATTTTGTGGGATCTTTTAAAAGTACAGATACTAGAAGCCCACTTCATAACTGCTGATGAGAAGTCAGAGCTGAGGCCCAGTGATTTGAGTTCTCCAAAACTCTCAGGGGACTTCAAGCTGGAGGCTGGTGATAGGGGCTCTAGCTCAGAGTTTTTGTTTCAGTCGCTGAGGGTGGAGCCTGAGCAGGTATGTTTCTTAAAGTTTTCAAGTGATTCTCAGGGATGGCAAGGATGGAGGTGTTGCACTTGCTGTTGTAACACTGGTCTAATAGAGCAGATGGAAAATGAGCGGCTAAAATAGTGAGAACACAGGAGCTCGGGGAAAATAGGTTTAATGCTCCCAGCTTCCCTCTGTTTCTGCTCTTCCTGATTTCCGCCCCTCTTCCTTTCTTCCACTTTTGCCCATGAGGTTTGTTTTGGTTATCACCAAACACTTTTGTTAGCCAATAGGAAAAGAGATACATTGGGATAGTATTTGGGCTTAATCATCTGGTATCAGTTGTTAGCACTATGCTGGCCTGCACAGGGTCCTCACCTGCAGCCACTAAGAGCATTCCCTGCATACATGCGCTTACTAACATTCAGGCAAGTATGCTAGCCAGCCCCGGGTCCTATGACTGCTACTTCCTTATGTAGTCTCTGTGCAAGGGCTACATCTCTACGTGGTCTCTCTGCGCATGCGCTAAGCCCCCTTTAAACGTGAACTCTACCTGTCCCTATTTCTCTTTCCTGCCCTTTCTCTCCAGGTGTGCACCTTTCCCCTTCTCTTTTCTCAATAAACCTTCTAGGAGTCCGTGGGATGGTGTGAATCCTCACCACCCCTAAACCACATCAGTTCCCAGGTTTACTACTTACCAAGCTGTAAGCTGTTCCTCCAGATGAAGAGTTGAGCTTCTATTAGCTGCCTCCAAGGTTTAATAACCTGGACTTCATTTATCTTCTCTCCTTTTACTCACTGTATCAGATTTAAAGGCTTCATGCTCATTCCTTTAAAAAAAAAAAAAAACATTTGTTTATGTGTATGAGTGTTTCCCCTTCATGTATGTCTGTTCACTGAATGTATGCCTGGACCTGAGGAAGCCAGAGACAAGGTGTCCAGTTCCCCCATCCGACTTATAAAAGACACTTTGGGACTCCTATTTACCCCTGAGGAGGACAGAAAGATCATCCAAATTCCCATTCTTTATCTTAGAAATGGTTCACTGAAATAATTATTGTCACAAATCAATTAGAATAAAGCGTGTATGATCCAAACTATAAAATTTTGTCCTTGTCCTGCACCCTGAACTCTGTCTATTCTTTATCTGAACCTAAGTCAGCTCACAGCCCTGTGCTAGTCAGAGCTCTCAAAGAACAGAAGCAGGGGTGTGGGTGTGTGTGGCAGGGGTGACGGGGGGCTTACTATAAGGAATTATCCCATGCGATTCTGGAGGCTAGCAAGTCCCTGGAGTTGCCGGTTTAGGGCCAGCCCACATGGAAAGGCCTGGGGATCAGGGATCTCATCCTGTAGCTCCCGTACAGTGTCAGCAGACTCCAGTGAGACGCAGAAAGAACAGTGCTTCATGTCCAGAGGCCTGAAAAACGCTAACCAGTTGGAAGGCCACCACCAGGCAGGGAGTATGTCTTCTTCTGGGAAGTGTAAATCTCCTCAGGTCTTCACTGATTAATTGAAAAAGGCCCATTTACACCTCAGGTGTGAACATAAGACTCACCCAAAAATACCTCACAGGAATACTCAGAATATTGTTTGATCAAATATCTAGACACCATGTGCGCAACCAAGTTTCTCAGTTCCTCCCTGATAGGAGGCTGACTAGTATGAATCATCCTCACTAGCCCATTGCACGACTCTCTCCCCTCATCTCTTAGCCTGTCTATTCCTTTCTGTGAGGGTCAGCTTTCTACTCCAGGGAAACACACCTAAGATAAGCCAAAGAAAGAGAGATTTAATCTGGCTCACAGTTTCAAAGAGGTCAGTGCACAGTTGTTTGATTGTGGTTTTGGGTTAAGTGGCAACATAAAACATTGTGGTAGGAAGTGTGTGATAGAACACAGAGAGCAGAAGGGGCCATTATTACCTTTACATCCATACCTAGAAAACCTAACTTCCTTCTACCACACCTTCAGACAGCATCAGAGGCTGGTGACCAAGAATATGAGCCTTTGGAGACCATTGAAGATCTAAACCTTAGTACTCGCTGTGAAAAGAGAGACCCTTTACCTAACCTTGAGATCTCATGGTCAGATTACCCCTTCTCCCTTATAGTGTATTTTGGAATAAAGTCTGTTCTGAGTGGATTGCTTTTGCTTTTAATTTGACAGAAAAAAAGTTAAATATCCATTTCTCAGACATGGTAAAATAATATGGCATATCCAAATCTTAGAGTATGATAAATATGCTCTCTCTTTCCCTCCCTCCCTCCCTCCCTCCCCTCCTCCCCCTGTGTGTTATGTACATGTTTTTGTATGAGTGTGTGAGCACATATATGTGCACATAGACATGTAACAGGTAAAAAATATCTTCTCATTCTCTCTCTGCCTTATTTTTTGAGCGTGAATCTGGAGCTCACCAAGAATCTAGACTGTCTGGCAAACAAGCCCAGAGGTTCTTCCTTTCTCTGTTCCATAGCACTGAGATTATAGATGTGCACACTGTCACTGCTAGTCCTTTCTTTAAAATCTGGTGGTGATCAAACTTACTTCATGATTGCCCAGTAATCGCTTTACCAACCAAGTCATCTTTATAGCACCAATGTGATACATTTTCTAAAGGAAAATGTGATACTCGCTGATGAGGAAAGACATCTGTTGAGCTTAAAACACAGACTTGAAGGTTGTATAAACATATTAACTCTTCTATGTAGACTTGATAAGGAATATCTTAATATTTTGGGAGAACACTAATATTTTGGAAGAGAATTGTGTGGTACTTTCTCATATTCTATTTCTAGTTATCTTTGTGAGAGGAACATTTAAAGGGAAGGAATTTTTCTGTTTTAATTCTTTTTTTTTTTTTTTTGTTTTTTTTGTTTTTTTGTTTTTTCGAGACAGGGTTTCTCTGTGTAGCTTTGCGCCTTTCCTGGAACTCGCTTTGGAGACCAGGCTGGCCTCGAACTCACAGAGATCCGCCTGGCTCTGCCTCCCAAGTGCTGGGATTAAAGGCGTGCGCCACCACCGCCCGGCCTTTATGTTTGTATTGTCTATAATGAAGTCTTACTGCCTCTAACTTCATGTTCTGTACATTTGCCTTTTAAAAGTTAGTTCTGCTGTTATGCTAGGGCTTGGCTGACTGCTCTTGTGGGTGTCCAACCTTGAGTTCCTCCCAGAGGATGTACAACCCCAAATAGTGACTCTTAGCTCCTTTCCCCTCCCCTCCCCTTGTCATCCTCTTCTCCTCCTCCTCCTCTTCTTCCTCCTTCTCCTCCTCCTTCCTCTCTCTCTCTTCTTCTTCTTCTCTCTCTCTCTCTCTCTCTCTCTCTCTCTCTCCTCCCTCCTCTAGCCTGATGGACCCCCAAAGCCCAGTGGAGTCTGGAGCTGATTGTTGCTGTATTCAGTGCTTCCTCTGGAGTCCTTCTTGTGGCCTGGGTAAATGGGCAGAGTGGCTGATGACTCTTCTGGGCTTTGAGACCATTGTCTTCCATCATTTTGCCTAAAATCTGTTTGGTTTCCCACATCCTCTGTCAAAGGGTGAGACTTTTAAAATGAATATATTAGATTTAGTTTCATTTATAAAGTTTGAACTTTCCAGTTCTTATTACTGGCCATTTTCCCCAAAATTTATATGCCACCCGCATCACAGGTAACCCCAGAGATAGTTTAAATGCTGTGAAGTTACAGCATTACTCTGGTGATATTTTGTTTGTGCTAAAATGTGGTGATATTTTTTATTTGTATGTTAATAAATGAAGCATGCCTGGAGATCGGGGTGGGGGGGGAGGCCAGCCATTTTTAAGTAAACATAGAAGTCAGGCAGTGGTAGCACACACCCTTAATCTGATCACTTGGCAGGCAGGGTCTCTGTGTATTCAAGGACACATTAGGGAACAGCCAAGCGTGGTGACACACGCCTTTAATCCCAGTACCAACCATAGAGACCTGGAGGTCTGTACAGACAGTCAGTGACAAGGAAGTGAGGTAGCTGGGCTAAGAGCCAATGGGAGGGAAGAACAGCAAGGCAATAAAAGCATGGGTAAGACAGGAAGTAGCTCACCTTTTGGTAGCTGCAGAGCTGGAGAGGTAAGGTTGGTGGCTTTCCCTATTTCCCTGATCTCTAAGGCTTTTACCCCTATATTTAGCTCCATGTTTTTCATTTAATAAGATAATTTAGAAAATCAGCTACACATTATTTCAGAGTCTTCTTTGTTACATTCCCATGGACTCATAGATTTGACCCCAATATTTTGATTAAATGCTGACTTGGCCAATCCTCCCTCTGTACTGGAGGGCAGATGCTCTTTACCTGGAGTATGGTCCCTGTCTTCTGCTTTTCCTTTCCACTGTCTGCAGAAGCCTAATAGAGGGTCTTTTTACACCCCAAATCAGTGTTCCTTCTCTAATGTCTCCAGATGGACAGTCAGATGGCACAAGTCAGGTTCTCAGGTTCTAGAATTGAACCTCAGGGTCTTAGCCCGAGTCTGAATCCTTGGGATGGGAGAGATAATGCCTACATCAGCCTTCAGGCATTTCCCTCTCTACTTAAGCAGAGCAGAATTGCACTATGGCTCCAGAGGCTTCCATTCCTGGGAGGAAGGATTCTGGTTGTTGGAGAAAAAGGTTAAAAACTACATTCATAGTCAATTTCTTCATATAATTGACTTGTTTCTGGATTCTGATGAAATCTAAATAAGTAAAGAACTGACTGTCAGGAGAACTAAACAATGGCAAGGTTGGCACTTTTGTCTTTATGTTCAATATTTATTTACAGCCTGCCTTTTGAAACATGATGGCTGTTACATTCAAGCAAGTTTTGTAACAACAGCTTCTCTTGGTGCCCTGTGTGCTCTGAGTCCCCTTTGTCTTATTCATACATCTGCACTATGCTTAAGGAGTTCACATTAAGCCTCTCATGTCTCCAATACTGTTTCTGTGCTGTTGAGTTTTGCCAACTAAGCTTGACTGAAGAGAGACACATTGTTGTCTACTTTTCATCACCTGTCCAGTAAAATGGTTGGTTGTCAGGACAACAGCATAGAAAGTAGGTCATTGATAACCACATGGATTCTTTAAACAAACAAACTTGACCGGGGAAAATTCCAGCATATGATTGAGATAAAGGTTAAAGAAGAGGAAAAGTTCCAGACACACCCTTCCTCTTACAAACTTGGCATTTCTTTGTAAGAATCAGTTGCCACTGGGGTTGCTTATGAATGTATTGACTGTGCTGAGAAAACACATAGTCTGTGTTGAACAGTAGGCTTGTCATAACACACACACACACACACACACACACACACACACACACACACACACACTTCATTCTTGATGGAAAACCTGAGGGATAAGTAGGCACTTTGTTCCCCCATAGTCATAGTATCAGACACAAGAAGCACCCAAGACAATTGTAGGGATAAGTGCTTTGCATCTTGATAGTGGCCCTTATAGACAGGTTTTATGATGTTTATCTACAAAGACTCTGAGTTTAGAGGGCTCGAGGCTCTGAAAGTTGGGGCATGGAAGCAAAGCCAGATCAAACTGACTGCTGAAATCACCGTCTTCATAACAGCACTCTGGCTCCCTGTCAAAAATGTGAGGAGTAGGGCTTTAAAAAGAGCACTTCTAAGATGAAATATATGCTTTTCAAAACAATAGCAGAAAGCCTTTTCAGGGGTAAAATAGTTGGGAAAAAAAGAAATAATATGTAATTTAGTGTTCATTGAAAATAAGCAATTAATCCTGCCCTCTGGGGGTGAATTTAGTCTAGCTTATTTGCACATGAAAGTACAAGACTGACTTCCTCTCTATGAAAGTAAGACATCTGGTTGGAAAGT